ACTAATCCTGAATCTTGTGGTTTCGTGGAACAATTCTTTCCTCGAGGATAAAGGCAAACTGGCGATGCCGTATCGATGAGAAATCGTTTTGAGTCATCTAGAAGAGGGGAGCTGGGCTTGATGCAAGGAACGTTGTTGAAGGAGCAACCAGTTATGATCGAGGCGTCGATGGCTCCTTCGTCGACGACCCGTCTTCGTTTCCCGATGTCTTTTCTGTAAATTTCATTTGCTTCAGTTTTTCGTTCCAGGACGGACAATTCGGACCTTTACACGAGCGAGATTTTTCTCCATAAGCTAAATGGAATGTACATTGACGGGGACTTTTTACGTTTTTCGTCTCTTTACCTTTGTTCTTGTACTTGTTTCGTTCAATCTTCTGTGTATTCCAGACTGCCGAAACAACTTGAGACGTACCTTTATTTTGACCAACGTCGAGAAGGACGTCACATTTCCGCTGAAAGTCAACCACGGAACACGATTCGAAATCAGTAGCGACGTGGTGCTTAACATTGTCTGGAAGCGAGGAAAACAACACGAATTTACGGAAATCGTCTACAGAAATGTTCTCCAACAAAGGATTGATCCTTGAGAGCAAGTGTGCCGTCTTCTCCTCCGAACCACGTTTCTCGATGAACATCACCTGTTGGATCTTTTGGATTTTGGTAAGAGAAAATTGATTCATTAATAAATCTCTTGCCATTGAAAAGGGTTTATCATTCCCGCTTTCCAGAACTGGCGAAACGAACAAGGCTTGACTACCGTCAAGGAAACGCGATAAGGTAGCAAACTGCGTGTCTTCCTCCAAGATCTTCGCAGCTCTCATTTGTTGCATGAGCTGGTCAAACCAGACTTTCGGATTTGATTCGTCGAAAGGACGGATGTCTACTTTCGGAAGCCTTGTCTTATGTTCAGGTGATGGTGTTGGAGCTTTCAAGTCTTCTGCGATCGCCTCAAGTCTCACAAAAAGTTTATCTGTCTTCGCCAATAGATCCGACGACCTTCTCGAGATGTCGGAAATCGAATCTGGTTCTTCCGTTCCAGAAAAGA